GAAGTGGATTGTGGGCCAGAGGTTGGAGACCCCTGCTGTCGACCTCTGTCTGTTGTCGTCTGTGGTTTCTGAACGTCCACTTGTGTATTTGTTCATTAGTCTTTACTGTTGAATTCTTTTCAAAGTCAGGTGAGGGCGCTGTTACGTCTCATTGGTCTTGGGTTTAATTGGTGCCTTGAAGTCGACTGTCCTCACATATACATGACAAAAACCACTTCACACACCCTCACACACACACTCACACACTCACACACTCACACACACTCACACTCGGCCCCTGACTCCTGTTGACATCAAAGGTCTTCACTGTAACATTAAGAGTCAGAACAAAGACTTCCTCCTTCCTCCTCATTGGCCATTCAAACTCCATGTAGAAAAACCAGGAATTGAACCAGCGACCCGTCTCCTGCTGGAAGGCAGGAGCACAACACACTTTTCTCACACACCTCAACAAACAAACGGACCCACGGACCCTGGTTTCATCATGAACGTGTGACTGTGAGGTCGAAGCAGACGCCGGGAATTAGAGAGCGGTCGTTTTATCAGCTTTGTCTGAGTCACAGTCGCAGCCTCTCAAATTAAGTGAATGAAAACATAAATTGAAATGATTTTGCCACCGACACAGTCCTCCATTAATGCAGCAGACGCTCACATCGACTGGCGGCGGGATTTGTTTATAATGTGATATGAGATGATTATCACCGTGGAGGAGCCTCTAATTCCCAAATAATATGGGAATGTGATGTTTGTATTAGCAGATAACGCTGTGTTTACACATTTAATTTCTATATTATAACAAAATGGATTTTTTTTTGTTTCGTTTTTGTTGAAAAACAAAAGTAATTTTCAGCCACGCAAAAACCTTGTGCTGTCATGTTGACGTTTAGTTATCTGTTGTTCTGTTTTTGTTTTAATAAAATTCAGTCAGGGGGAGGAATTAGCATCGAATTAAGGCACAATTACGCTAAACTTTTTGAAGTCACAATTAAAATCAACACAAAGGAGAATTTTAATTAGCCCAAATATCAATTTTTATAAGATCTGAGGCAAGTAAAGTGACGTGATGTCATCACATGACAGTTAAAAAAAAGATAAAGCTAAGTTGTTGTTTTTTTAAAAAAAAACCCTAATGATCCAAATATTAAGAAAACATTAGTTTAGTATCAGACGACAGCAGCAGTTAGCACGGAGCTATCTAAAAAGCTAACTAACATTTCTGTGTTTGATGCTTCTTCCGTTGACCACCGGGGCATTTCTCCACTTTGTTTTTCATCACATTTTTGTTCTAAATTGTTTGACAGCATTTCTCCACTTTGTTTATTTTTCCCTCACATTTTTGTTCTAAATTGTTTGACAGAGATCTGAAGCTGGACAACGTGATGCTGGACTGTGAAGGTCACATCAAGATCGCAGACTTTGGCATGTGTAAAGAGAACATGAACGACGGCGTCACCACCAAGACTTTCTGTGGAACTCCTGACTACATCGCTCCGGAGGTGACGTGTGTGTGTGTATGTGTGTGTGTGTGTGTATTGTTGAAGTCTGCTGTCATGATGACGTAACGTCTTCTGTTCCAGATCATAGCCTACCAACCCTATGGTAAATCCGTGGACTGGTGGGCCTTTGGTGTGTTGCTGTATGAGATGCTGGCTGGACAGGTTGGTGGTTGGGTGTGTTGGTGTGTGTGCGTTTGTTTACAAATGTGGTTGAACGCCCCGTTCTCAGGGTTGTTTTTGAACATATTAATATTCTCGCTAACAGGGATTTAATGTTCCTTTAATGGTTTGAGACTAGATTTGAGGCTAAGGGTCAGAGGACGGGCTACAAGTCACACAGTGACTTTTGGTGGAAACTTATTTCCCAGAATTCAGCTGTCAACAGGTGAGGGCGGGGCCAGTCCACCAGTCCATCTCAGGGCCACATATAGAAGTCGTTCACGCTCACATTCACACCTGAGGTCGACCTACTGTACTCCCCTAATGAAGATGTTTTTGGGTTAAAAAACCCACGAAACTTCACACAGAAAGAGCCACAAGGGACGGAAAAAATTAAAGGAACAAATCTTTACACACAGAATGTTATATCTTCAACCATTTCCATTGATTCTAACAGAGAGAGAGAGAGAGAGACACTCCCCTAGAGTTGGCCATCTCTCTTTCTCTCGGCAGCTTTTTCTTTTATCTGAATGTACAAAATATAAAGGAGAAAAAAATCACAGTGTTTAAATTTGACACCATGTCATGAAAGGTTAACCATTAAATGATGTCCCATAATGAGTTTTCCTCTCAGGACATTAATAATTGTTCAGAGTGAATGTGCTGCCTCGATCAGGGTGGATGTGTTTTTCAACAAGCTCAAAGAAAGATTCCCCTAAAACATCACCCCCCCCCCCCCCTCTTTTTTTTTTCTCCAGCCTCCGTTTGACGGGGAGGACGAGGACGAGTTATTTCAGTCCATCATGGAGCATCACGTCTCCTACCCTAAGTCGATGTCTAAGGAGGCGGTGGCCATCTGTAAAGGGGTGAGTGTGAACAAACAGAGCAAAAAGAAACGCACAGTCACAGAGTGTGTGTGTGTGTGTGTGTGTGTGTGTGTCAATAAACAGTGAGTCCGTGTGTACACAGCTCCACTGTGATTCATCATCATGCAGGAAGAGACTGGCTGCAGAACATCACTGCTGCTGATGTCACTGCTGCTGCTGATGTTACTGCTGCTGCTGCTGCTGCTGCTGCTGATGCTGCTGATGTCGCTGCTGCTGCTGATGTCACTGCTGCTGCTGCTGCTGCTGTCACACAGTCGTAGTTGTATTACAGTCGGTGTGTGTGTGTTTAAACTGCACTTCTGTGGCTTATTTTTATTTTTTAGAATTCCTCTGACCTCCTTCCTGTTGGATCAGATTTGTATAGTATTTATTGGAGTTCACGAAAAAGTCAAACAAATTGTGTTGTTGTTTCCAGAGCCCTGAGGTGCACACACACACACACTCACACACACACACACACACTCGCACACCTACACACACACATACACAGTTTGTGTGTGTAATTAAGAGATGAAGTTGAAGAGATTTAAGATGTAAAACATTAAGTTTTAATTTCTGTCCCAAGTTTGAAGAAAACTGCCTTTAGAGAAAAGTTGACAAAATATTTACTGAACAGTCTTACTCACACACTCACACACTCACACACACACACACACACACTCACACACGTACGTGTGCTGTGTTATGTATTAGTGATGATTACTAGCTTGTAGTGCTACAGCAGTAAATATTCAGTGGAGCATGAAAGCTCCGTTCCATCCTCCCCCGCAGCTCACACTGTGCCCGGGCTAACATGGTGTGTGTGTGTGTTTGTCAGAATGTGTGTGTGTGTGTGCGCTTGAATACTATATGCCTTCATTTTAAACCCTACAAGATAATTCCATTTTTGAAACAGAAAAAAAAAAAACACACGACGTCAGGTTCATTTTTCAGTTCTTCTTGACGGCACCGTTTCTCAACACGAGGGTCATGTGACTGACACAGTCATGGAGCTGCCTGTTGTCCAGTATAAAACACGACGTTACACACGTTATTTACATTTTTATTTGTTGAATTTTTATGACCGATGTTTTTTATAAAATCAAGCCTTTTCTTGTCGTCGTCAAAGGTTTTTTTTTTTTCAAGAAAGGAAGTTTCTTGAAGTAAAAAGAAACTTGTTAGTTTCCTCCTGTTAAAAATACTTATAATTAATTCAAACCTCATTTCACAAAGTGATAACACTGTACCTGTGAAGTACTGTTCGTGCAGCAGCATCAGTGAAAGACGGGATAAAAGACATTATTTTAAAACTTTTATCGAAGAACTTTCACTTGACCTTTAACCTTCTGACACGTGTCCCGTTTGTGTGTGTGTGTGTGTGTGTTTGTGTGTGTTCACCGGAGTTGACTGATCCACGGAGACTGTTATTTGAAGGTTCAATGTAATGAGTTGTGACTGCTGCCGCCGCGGGGGGAGCCACGCCCACCTGCACACTCACACTGACGTCAGCCGTCGTGATGAGGTTCTTTAAGGTTGACAGACATTATGAGCCGCCCTTAATTATGCCTGAGGTAAATCACCGGAGTAAAAGAGAGCAAACAAAAAGCAGCTATTTGTCTGCAGCAGCAGGAGGAGGAGGAGGAGGAGGAGGAGGAGGAGGTCAGCGGATCATTTGTTCTAGCGGGAGAGTCATTTAAGGTGACAGATGGATGGTTGAAGGGAGAAGTGGTGTAAAGTGAGGAGAAAAGGTAGCGCTAGCAGTGAAAACTCTGGGTTTATAAAGTGAGATGAATGAGGATGATGAGTGGGAGGGCCCAGGGAAAACAGACAGGGATGAATGAGATGAAAATTTAATGATTCTGGAGGGGAAATTTGGGGCGTTGCACCGGCAGCTCACTGCTAAGTGTAGTGTGGACACGGAGCTGCTTAGTCTGGATAAATGTTACCAGTCCAGACAATACACATCATTAAAGAGTGATCGTTCAATTAGGGCCGTCAACCGGTAAAACAAAAAAAAAAATATGCAAATGATTCCACGCTCTGTAAATAATGAATCCAGATGAATGGTGAGGTGGAGCAGATGATGATGATGAAGGTGAGGAAGAGGGAGAGACAGAAGAGACAATGTGGAGAGGAGGAAAAGGAAAGCTTTTGACTGGTAAACTTTTGTGTGAATGTTGAAGGATGATTTTTCATCTCAGACGTCGTGAACCGTGACTTTGTCTCAGGCAGGATGGAACTGAAGCCTTTAATGCTGAGATTAAAATGCTTTTTTTTGTGCCTTCTTTTTTTGAAATTTTTCAGTCTATATATATTTATAAGTTGAATTTTTCAGTCTATATATATTTATAAGACTATATGTATGTAAGTGTTCTGAAGGTTGATGCCGTAGGTAGACCACCGTCAGCCCCGAATGATGAAGAGCAACATCAGGAAACCACAAAACAAGAAATGTTTGCGTTGGAATTTAAACAGAAATGTGTGTGAACCCTGATGAAGACCTGAACTTGTCCCTGCTCTGTCTGTCCAGCTGATGACAAAACATCCGGCCAAACGTCTCGGCTGCGGTCCAGAGGGAGAGAGAGACATCAGGGAGCACAGCTTCTTCCGCTACATGGACTGGGAGAAACTGGAGAACAAGGAGGTGCAGCCACCGTTCAAACCCAGAGCCGTAAGTTCAAACCCCTCCACCCTCCACCACCCTCCACCCACAGCAGAGACCAGGAGGTTACTTTCTGTGTCGCGGGTTAAGTTCCCGGCGCAGGTGTTGCTCAGATGCCCTGACTTCCTGTACAGTCAAGTTGTCCTTCATTCTAACCTCCTCTGTTTTCCTACAACTCCTCTCTTTGTCACCTTCGTCATCTCTCCACTTTCTTTGTGACGTTCTCTGTCTCTTTCTCCTCCTCTGAGCTGAACAATGACCACAGGTAAGTCAGGACGTGGTGATGATAATCTGGCTGAGAGCGAGAGCTGATGTTGACGATGGCAAAAGTGACTTAACGTAACAATGACACACACACAACGTCAACATTTGAATCATTTAAAAAAAAAAAATCATAGATCGTATGTAAGGAATGGACGTTGCTATGGTTGTATATGTGATGTCAGAGAGCTGGAAATGGAACGCTAAGATTATTTGCAGCATTTTTGCGATTTATTTTTACATTTCAACCCCAGACCAGTGTCAGCCAGTGAACCTGCTCCATATTTGTCATGTGATGTTACCGGATGTCACTGTGAGCAACATAGCATAGCATTTTACTTGTGGTCGACAGAGCTGCAGGTCAATAACCACATGCTGCGTGACCAAAGTTAGACATGCTTTAGCAGTTACCTTAGCTAGCTAACAGTTAGCTGCTGCTGCTACTTCTTTTTCTTGATTTAACAGAATGTTTGTAGATGATCACATCCAATAGTTATCAAATAAAGTATTTACTACAGCGTGTGATGGATGTGATTGACAGGTAGGTCTGTCCAATGAGAGCTCAGACGCTGGTTACAGGTCAAAGCTGTCAAGTTTGTTGTCCATTTCTTATACACAGTCTATGGTCTGACCAAATAAACAGTCATCACACACACACACACACACACACACACACTCAGAGTACGACTGCAGTTCACACTCACACAGCCTGAGGTCACACCACTGCTTTAGGGATCCTTCTGACTCCAGCTGTTTTTGCCTGCAGGGCTTTAGCCTCCATACATGTTTATGATGTGTGTGTGAATGTGTGTGTGTGTGGGGATTAGTTTTTGCTCACAAACAGGATGTGTGATGAGTATTAAACCTAGTTTTTTTTTCTTCTGCTGCTGCAGTCTGCCTGTAGCCACTAACAGATGTTGTCTGTTTACCTTGCATGGATTTTTGGGATTAGTTTTTGCATTTGAAAAACTCTCTTTGATGTGTTCTGGCTGCAGTGACATCACACTTGTTTCTAAAGCCTAATACCTCCGTCTACAGACTTGTAAGAGGTGGCGTTTTTTGGAAGTTTTTTTTTTTTTTTTGAAGGCTCTTTATCTTCTTGTCGTAGTGACAGGTTTTTTTCACTTTAATCACAAGTTAGTTTTGAAATGGTTTCTAATTATGGTCTGGTTGTGACGTTTAACGTCAAATTGACTGACTGTGTCTGACCAGCTGTGTCTGACCGGCTGTGTCTGACCGGCTGTGTCTGACCGGCTGAGTTACTGACTGACTTGTTTTTACTTTGAACAAAGTGTTCATACACTGTCACTAACCACCATCCTTCATATTGTTTCCGTTCAACTACGACCAGTCCGTGTTTTCGTTCTTCTTTTTCTGTGTCACGTCTCGACTAACTAAAAAATGTTCATACACCGTCACCAACCACCATCCTTCATATTGTTTCCGTTCAACTATGACCAGTCCGTGTTTTCGTTCTTCTTTTTCTGTGTCACGTCTCGACTAAGTTCTTTTTCCTTTCTGTGTTCACTCTTTGTCAGGTCTTCGTCTTTGTTATTTGCATGATGTGAAGTTGATCTCAAATAAAGCCTGACTGGAGTGCACTACACAACATAAACCTCTACCTGGGACAGGATGTAGTCAGCGTTTCAGCACCAACACATTTTTTATCCTTCTTTCATTCGCCTCACTTCATTTTATTTCACTTTTGTTAGTCAGTGATTCCCACAATGGTCGAACTTTCCCCAAAGTAGCTGATTGGCCCCGGTGAGTTTCTCATCTGGCATATTTATTCCAGACGTTTGAGGCGCCTCTTAATTTCCCGGGGTCCTTTGAGTTACAGAGATTTAATGAGTTTGTGGGTTTCCTCTGGGGAACCTTGTCATAGGACATTGAATCCTTGTTGTGTTAATTAAAGCTAAGCAGAGCGGTGTAGATGAAGGGAGAGCGAACGGCTCGGCCTCCAGCCCCCAGGGGGCAGCGTGTCTGAAAAAAAAAGTAGTTTTGAAGTTAATAACTTGTTGTATGTGCTTAGACCAGGGCGTGTCTCGGGGGGGGGGTTTATGTACAGTATATATAACATGGATCAAATGGTCGCAGAGAGGAGATTAAACGATTATGACGGTTGTTGCCTGAAGTGAGTAGAAAAGAGGATGGAACGGCTGAAATGAACAGTCGTTAACAGAAATCAGTAATTAAATAATTATGAAACAATTTTGGAAACTGATTTAAAACTTACATATTGTGTAAAAAAACAAACAAAAAAAAACATTGAGTCAGAAAGTTCTAAGTCGCTCTGTTACCTTCAGTTTATTCACATATTTCAACCCTGGTTAATGAACAATTTTGAAATCAGAGCAAACGACGACATTTCTACCAAAACTTGAAGAAACTTTGCAGCGTTTTTCCACCTATTTCCGCTCAGTTTGTGTGATTTATTTTTATCAGAACCACCGCGGGTCCATCAGCGACAGCATATAATTAACCCCCAATTAACCCACACTCACGCTGCCATCATCACCGTGGCCTCCAGTCTTCTCTGGACTAACTATCTACACATTCTAATTAAACCAAACCATAAAAGCTCAGATTTATTCATGGCTCAGATTTATTGTGGGGATATTTTTTACAGTGAAATGTACCGTCCACACACACACACACACACACACACACAGTAGTGCACTGTCCCAGTGGGTTTTTTTTGAGACTTAAATTGTTTTGTTCTTTTTGAAAAGAAAGAAAAAAAAAAGTTGAATATGTTTCAAATATTTGAAATGGAGAGATGAAAAGACGAGGGTTTGGTTTGTGCTCTCCTTAAAGTGATATTTTCACATCACTTAGAAGGTGATCACACGTTCCCTCCAGCCAATCAGCAGACACCAGCTGAGTCCTGGTATTTGAAACTATGTTCAAGTGATGTCATCTCCCCCCCTGGTTCAACCCCCCCCCCCCGTCCTTTCTAACAGTGTGGACGAGAGGCCGAGAACTTTGACCGTTTTTTCACACGTCACCCGCCGGTGCTGACGCCTCCCGATGAGGAAGTGATTCAGAACCTGGACCAGGACGAATTCCAGGGATTCTCCTTTATCAACCAGGAGTTTCCAGGAAACGTTGCGTCTCCCGATGCTGTGGAGCAGGCTTGATTTTAGCTCAGACACACAATAGGAAGACACAACAACAACAACACACTCATGACTGTGACTGCTCAAACACAGGTTTTGTGTAGTTTAGATTTACCAAACCTTAAACTGGAAAACTTAAAAAAAAAACAGCATTAACTAACATTAATGAGTTCAAATTTGAAATTTGTTTGGATTGGAATGAACAGTGACTAAAAATGTGATGGAATGTTTTGAATTAAAAAAAAATACAACTAAATATATACATCTGTGCTATCGACATATTAGATGTTAATTCCTTACCAGAATCCTTAACGTAAAGTCACTGCAGTTTCTTTGGGACGGAACTGCATCTGAATTTGTAAATTACGATTTGGTTTTGCAAAAAAAATGTTCCTTATCAGAAACGTAAAGTCACTGCAGTTTCTTTGGGACGAAACTGCATCTGAATTTGTAAATCACGATTTGGTTTTGCAAAAAAAAAAAAATATATATATATATTAGAAAATCCCATTTGGGGAATCAAACCTTTGTTCCTGGCGTTGCCCACAGGTTAATGTCCACTGTTTACATTCTGTCAGCGTTTTCAGTCAGGAAGTTGTCTTTATATATCCTTAAAATATGACGTTCTCATCAATTTGATGTTCAAGTAAAAAAAAAAATGAAGCTCTTTCAGACAATTTTTATTCAGATTTTCCCTTTAAGGTCATATGTTTGCTCGTTTATTCTTCCCCATGGGTGGGGTTTGGTGTTCCCAGTCAGACGTTGTACAGAACAAACAGCCAATCTCACCTATATGTGTATAAATATACAGAAATACATGTATAATGTACAAATACAGTATACACACATGCATGCAGATAAATGCTATCTATATATAAAGTATATAGTAGAAAGCCATGTGCTCATTGAAAAAAAAATTGTTGTTAGAATCGAATCTGTTAGATTAATTTTTTTTATTATTGAAAAAAGACAAACTCAAAAGCATGAATTTAGTTGATAAAATAGACAGTCGAACTAAACAAAAAAAAACTTAATTTATTTAAGTGAATACTTAATATTGACTGGTGAGAGTTCCTCCATCACAGATGAAAATAGTTTTTAGCTAAAGTTGTTCCACTGAGGTTTTATGCAGATAATTCTAATAACAATAATCACATGATAAACCGATGTATATTTTTGTGTATGTCCTATAACCTGAACTCTTGACATCCTGTGTTCAAAAACAACAAACAAACACAAGATTAACAATAATTAATGCTACAAATATCTAATGGTTTTCCATGACATTTCCTGCAGCCGTGACTGTGGCTCCGTGACGTAGTTGTAAATATTCTTAGTCTGATATTTTAACACAGTATTTACACATTGATGTGTTTTTACATAGGCATGAATCAAATGCAAGGACGTTTCGTCAGCTCCGAGGTTCTATGTTTGCGTGCGTGTGCAGATGTTTTAGACATTTTATCGTCTTTTGTTTGAATTTATTATTGTGATGAATGCTTTAAAACAGTCCTACCGTGTGTGAGAGACCAAAAAAAACTAGTTGATCACTAATTAATAACTGTGGATCAACCATTGGATCGAACATCGAATCAAGAGTTTTTTTACATCTGCAGCTTTAGTTTCAAATCTCATTGAAGTTCATAAAAAAACGTCCGTTTTCATTCAATAGGAAAAGAACTGAAATTATAAATCAGTGACATTTCCCTGCTGTGGCTCCAAAAGAAATCAAATCTGAAATTGCGTCGCTGTGGCTCCCCCTCGCTATAGCTTTAGGCCTCCCAACGGGGCTCGCCCCCCACACTGGGAACCGCTGCTCTACTGTAGGCCAGGAGTGATTTACTGTGAAACTTCAGGTGTAGAGTTTTTGGATTCTGTTTTTTTTTTTTTTCCAGAAGCCGTTAAGCATGAGTAATATGAGTTTGCAGCCCGAGAACCGCTGGTTCCATCAGCACTGCCGTGGTCACAGGTCCTGGTGTGGAGAGGCTTCTGCACCAGGACGTCGCGTCGTCTGTGTTTTGGTTTTTCAAACAGTAATCTCAGCATCACAGAGAGAGAGCGATGCGTTCAGGGTCAACCTCAGAGGTTACCGCTGCGTTAACACAACTTTTAACTCACGTACACAGACGGTCTTTTCTTGGTTCATGATGTCGTCTGGTGTGAAAGAACGGCTGTAAACGACGTCAGAAAACCCAACTCTTTAAGACCATTTTCATTTATTTATTCATAAAGTTTTATATTCCAGGTCTCGTCCCGCAGCCTTCAGTGACGTTCTACCAAAATGTATTCAGTGCATAACAATTGCTTTTGCTCAAATGATGGCGTAATTTAATTTGAGCCCCTCGCCCTGAATATTTCATGCCTTTTAAGTCAGATAAAACAAGGTTAAATGGATAATATGGCCGCCGCGTTCCTCAGTAGTGGAATTCAAACTTGGGCTTCTTTGATTGATTAGTTCCGTGTGATCGTGCTGGTGGACTGGAACTGATGCTCTCATCAGGGCTCACATCAAACCCATGTCCTGGGCACGATCACCATGAGCTGTGGATGGGATTATACTGGACTGTATGTACATATATCAATATATATTAGGGCTGGCTGTCAACCTGAACACAGGGTGTGGATGAATTACTGTGAATTAAGACGTCCAGTTGACTGGTTTATTTGATTAATTTTCAGTTAAGGTTTCAGTTTGGTGTCTTTGTTTTTACATTTTGACCTTCTGTGTCTGGATCTGCTGCTGTGCTGCTGGAATTTTGATTTCCATGAGGGAATTTCCATAAGGAATTTATAATCTAATCCGATTAATCGTGATTGATCAGGATATATTCACATTCCTTAACGTTGAAAATTCTCACCTGAAGTTTACAAGTGCATGCTGCGTTTAGAGACTTAGGTATTTGAAGCTCGAGACTCTTTGGTGAAATTGAAATCTCTTTCCTGCAAATGTGTGTCGACTGTGGAAACTAAACACTTTAATTTTGACAGCCCTAATATAAATATGTGTTATCTCCGTCGCCAGGTGTAAAGTGTTAGCTTACTGAGAAGACGAGCTCTCGCTTCTGAACACGTCCACACGTGGAAATAGGGTTAGTACTGTTAGTACTTCTTAGTACTGTTAGTACTGTTAGTACTGTTAGTACTGTTAGTACTTCTTAGTACTGTTAGTACTGTTAGTACTGTTAGTACCGTTAGTACTGTTAGTACCGTTAGTACTGTTAGTACTGTTAGTACTGTTAGTACCGTTAGTACTTCTTAGTGTTTTCACGTTTTAGTCACAGTTTCAAGTATTGGAGCCTGTTGTTTTTGTCGGAGCTCAAAAACCGCTGCGTGTTTGATGTCCCCCCCCCAACCCCCCCACCTCTCCAACATTTATTATAACATGACACAAATATATGATGATTAACATATAAGCTACGTGCTATTATTAGCGTTATATAAAACACCGTCAGTCCGTGTGTGTTCGTCGTCACTCCTGCTTAAACATGTGCATGGGAACTGTGTGTTTGTTTCTTATTGAGGATTTATATACATTTAACATATTACGGCGCTGATGCTCTAACAGTGTGATCGATGCAACCGCATTATGTGTTGGAATATATTTAAAAGAGAGAGAGAGAAAAAAAAGCTTTTGTTCTCGAAATTGATTTTAAAAAAAGACGGACGTAGCTGAAATAAAAAAAATTTGGAAATATATTCATGGGATTTTTGTTCTTTTTATGTTTAGTGTCGATGTTCTGTGAAGTGTCTGCGGTTTCTTCTTACCTTGTTTTTGATTTCATCTTTTTTTTTTTTAACTCTCACATCTCTCCTGACACACTGCTGTTGTCCACAGAGTATAAAGTGATAGTGATGGTGAAAGAGAATAGGAAAAGGACGGAGAGCGAGCGTGAAGAGGCGGCGTCGAGGAGAAGGAGAGATTTGAGCGATGGAGGGTGACAGTCGAGGAGGGTTCTCGACAAATAGGAGGGAGAAAGGGAGGAAGAGGGATGAAAGAGGAGAGGAAAGTAATTCAACAATGGAGTGGGGTGAGGGGGGGAGGGGAGGAAAGGAATCGAGGAAGCAAAGCGAGGCTCTGTGAAGTGAGGCAGGCAGGCAGGCTACGACAGGCTGTGCATATTTCATGGCTGCCACTTATCAAAAGAGCCTTTCCATGATGGGGCAGCGTAGGTCTGATGACTTCAAGGAAATAACATGCAGAACACGGCCTACATACACACACACACACACACACACACACCCCTGCTGAGCTGCTGCTGCTGCTGCTGCTCTGATTGTAGCTCCATGTTTGCCTTTAACAAGGGTCAGTGCATCTAAAAGCATCTCTTACCGCTGCCGCCGTACATTGTTTACAACTACGCGGACGCAGCCGATGTAAAGCGGCTGTGACCAACGTCTGAGCCGTGGCAGGTTATGATGGGAAACAACAACAACACATCATTTACTCGCTGGAGTGTGAAGGCAGAGGTGCGATGGTGGTGGTTTGATAGTCACGGAGTTGTTAATGTTGTTAACACGGTGACCGCCGGCCGGTTTAACACTGCGGTGGAAGAAAAAAAAAACGCTGCAGTGACTCAGTGACTGACTGACAGAGACTTAGTGAATTAGATGAGTGAGTTTATTCAAAAACTTAGATTTGATCAGTGATTTTTAAGCTCGAACGCTGCCTGGGTTTTGACAGTGGACACACGTTGAGACACGTCTTCAACAGCGTTTGACTGTGTTTTAGGTTTAGTTGGTTTTTGGGGGGTTATTTTTCTACCATTTTTTAACTGTCTGCCAATGAACTTGAGTTTGAATGCATTTCTAAGGAAGAGTGCCAGCTTCAAACAGTTGGACTGCTGTTTGGACGTGGCGTCTCTGTGGACGTGTCCCCTCCTCTCAGGTCCATCATGCAGATGCTGGATGTGTTGTAGACGTCCAAACACCGCTGCAGCTTCAGACACACACTCCACCTCACGCCCTCACGTGTCTCCGTCCTGACTCTGTGCCACGGCTCTACAGTATTTCCCACAACTTTATTTAAATCACAGCTCACACAGATGCTTCAGAAAACCCTGGTTCTGGGGCGGATGTACACTGTACTGTGTACTGTAGCAGTGCTGGAGTGTGTGTGTGTGTGTGTGCGTGATAATTAATTCCAAATGTTGTGCCCCCCCCACCCCAAAAAAAAATTAAAGCCAGTGGCTTCAGCACAAAGCAGCGCAGGCTTATCAGTCCAAAACAGGTCAGCGTTGGAAACCGCCTTTCATTCACCCTCCTCTCCTCATCACCTCCCCCGTTCCTCTGTGCCTCCCACTCTCTCCGCATCCTCGCCTCTCATCGGCTCGTCTCCCGCTTAATCCCATCGTTACTGCAAAGAGATGGGGGCGAGTGAGAGAGGGAGAGAGAGAGAGAGAGGGGAAATTATAGACCCAGTCATGTTTCTGTGTTACGACCGACGGCTCCTGGATCACAGTGTTGGTTTGAGAACCAACAGCAGCGTGTGTGTGTGTGTGTGTGTGTGTGTTTGCCTGTATGGCACAGTCAATTCAAACCTTTTGATTTATGCCCAGGACCATGATATTTATCTGCCCCTCCCCCACGCCCCCGTCCTCTGCCCATCCTTTCCCTCCATATCTCTGTCTTTCTGCCTCACAGCTTCAACTCCAACAGAAGCATAATGAGCTGGCCTGCATGGCCGGCAGCTGTGTGTGTGTGTGTGTGTGTGTGTGTGTGTAACCTTAAGTGTGCAGGGTTTGCCAGTGCACACAGCACTACTGTCTATATTTAGTTATTATCTTAGAAGTAAAAAAAAAAGACTTTAACCTATTAATTACACAGTTTAATTCATTAATATAGATTTTTTTTTTTTGACGGGTTCAGAGTTTTTCTAGGAGCGAGAAATGTTCCTTTGATGGCAGGAAAAAAAGATGTTTGAACTCCTAAACACTGGTAGATTAAAAAGTATTTTTGGTTTGATTAAATTTATAATAAATCAGTTGTTATTGTGGTTTTAAACGACAGAACTGAGAAGTTAAGAAGACGTGGAGAATTTTTTAGATGTGTCGAGAAATAACACAAGAAGATGTACAGTGTTAGTTAGCAAATATATATATATATGTATACTATATATATATATTTAAATTTAAAAAAATAGTTCCTATGAATGTTTTTTTTTTATTTATTGAATTTGTATTTTTCTAGTCAGAAACAGAGACAGAAGAGTTCAATTCCAGTCCAGTCTCACTCTGGTCCTGTACAACGGATGAATGGACATTTATTCATGGACAAAATGTCGTCCATGATTCGTCCATGTTTATGTCACTGTGACATTTAAGAAAATCAATGTGATTTAACACCAGCAGCCAATAATCAATCAATATGTTTCTGACGTTTTTTGATCTGTTTCTGTTCTGACCTCCTGACCTCCTGACCTCCTGACCTCCATCCAGGAAAACTGAAAACAGTCAGATTCATTGATGGTAAAAAAAAAAAAAAAAAGTTAATTGTTTTCCTGTTAATCATGAACAGGGACCAGATCTAATGCGTTGTCTGCTTATTCTTTATGGTGGGATCACACATGGTTCCTGGTGTCACTCATTCCTGGTACCATTTAATTCTAAGTCCAACATTCTGACCTAACAAATGTTCATCTTGAATGTTGAGCGTGACTTTGACCTAAAAATAAATAACTACGCTGCTGCAGAGGTCAGAGAGAGAGGACGCAGTCAGTCCAAGACATCATTAAAATACAATGTAAAGTTAAAGAATCTCCATGTGAGGAGAAACCCAGTCCCAGCTTTTCTACATCAACGTGGTAGCAGCCTGAGGGGTGCGCAGCCCTCTCTCCCCCCTCCTCTCTCTAGAGGAAGCACTCGAGTGGATTTCATGCCCAGGAACATGAGGTGGATGTGGGCCAGCTGTGGCAGGTGTGTACCTGTGGATACGTACGGCTCCTCTGAGGCCTTGGGGAAGTTGGCAGAAGGTAGGAGATGCGACATTTGTTTCTTTTCTGTGATCTTCAAAGCTCTCCTGTCCCTGGCTGTCTCTCTCCCTCCTGGTTGCACATGAGCGCGGATCCTTGTGATGTACAAACTCTCGGCTTTCGCGAGCGCCACAGCCCAATGCTAATCAGCATCCACTTTGATGGAGTCGTCCGACTCCCTTCTGTCTCCCCCGTTCTTCTGCCTCTTTTTCATGTCCTGAGTCCAGACACTGTAGCTTCAGCTGTCTATGTTCTCTCCATGTACAGTCTGTTCAAATGCTGCCCTGACTCTGGCTGTCTGTTATTGATCGCTGACCTCACTGACCTCGCTGACCTCACTGACCTCACTGACCTCACTGACCTCACTGACCTCCAGCCGCTCTCTATCTGGCAAATGTTTATGGTGCAAGAATTTCTCAAGTCTTTTGTGGATTTGTCTGTGAATGCTGCTTGCTGGGTGACTCACTGTACACAACCTGTCTGTGTGTGTGTGTGTGTGTGTGTGTGTGTCGACTCAGACTCAGGTTGTTGTTTAAATGTGAAAAATAAAATGAAACAATATTTTTGTTTGTTTAATCTGAAGTCACAACCTATGGTTAAAATAAGTGAACGAGGTAGGCAGGATAACCTGAGGCCTTAATAATAATAATAATAATAATAATAATAATAATAATAATAATGACCTATTTCAGGTATTATTACACGACTAAGGGAAAATGAAATGAAAAGTTTCTCCACCACATCACACTCACCCATCTCTAACAGCCCTCTATTCATAGAGTCCATTAACAACACCACCACAAAGTAGCAAACACACACACACACACACACACTGCTACAGTTCCTTCAGTCTGGCTTTGATTCTTCTGTGTAGTTTAACTCTCTGCTGCGTCTGTCACATGACTTTCCTTCTGTTTCTTTATGGCTTCGTTATTTTGTTCGGTGTCACTGCAGAAAATAATCTTCCAAAATCAAGGCTGAAACTTTGACAAAACACTAAGAAGAAGTAGAGCAGTAAAACCAGGAGAAACACCGAAAAAGAAAAAACACTGTTCTGTACAAAATAGTTTAGAGTTCAGCAGTTCCCGGTTTTTAAATAAACGTATTTTGTGGAATCAAACTTGTCACAAACGAACAAAGACAAACTCCTTTAATTGAGCTAAAAACTGTGCCGCTTTTTCCAGATATCTTTATATATATTTCTGATGTGCTGCATGAAAAATCTGCTAAACACGGAATACTCTGAACTTCCACTTCTTGATTTAAGGCCACGGCGTCTCACTGTGATGTTCTCTCTTCGCCCCCTCCCCATCAATCATATGTGCGTTCTCCTCCACCCTCCCTCTGTCTCTCCACACCCCACCCTGCAGAGGAGCCGCCGGGACACGTGCAACTTTGACAAAGAATTCACCAAGATGGCGGTGGACTTGACGCCGACGGACAAACTGGTCATCATGAACCTGGACCAGGATGACTTCCTCGGCTTCTCCTTCACCAACTCTGAATATGAGGCTCCTGCTAATTAACGCGCTGCATCACACGGCTGGACTGATGACCATGATTTAGAGGAAGGAGACCGGAGTTCGAATCACAATTATTTGGTATGTTAGAGAAATAATCACTCCAGGCCACGCTGCAGTCAATCCAGTCATGTTAATCATGTAAAAAATAATGTCTCGCCTTCCTAAATCTGGGACACCAAAGACTCTGTAATTGGTCAAAACATTTT